GACACCAGCCATCTTGATTACAATTTTATTGAAAAATCGCTTTATATTCAAAATCTGAGTCAGTATAGGTACAGTACGTCTGTCCGTTCTGTAGCTACGGGGTATCCGTGAGAGGAGAAACGATATTCTATCGATGTTTTTCGTAAAAAAATAGACGACGCGTCCCATCAATAAAAATTCAATAAATTTGCAAGTAGCCAATAAAATGAGTGGGCGGAGCGATTTGCGGTGACGCACTCGTCAAATCGACGTATAAAATATATTGCTGTTTATTTAAATGTTTTTTGTCCGCATTCCTTTCATAGACACAGATCTAGCAGATGTACTGTATAGTAAACCCTAATAGAGTTCGTAAGAGCATTTAAATCTGCTTCGACTTATTTAAAAAAATACATAGTGTTGCATTTGAAATAACGATGTTTTTATGTAAAATAGACCAGCAATTTCTGATGCCCCAGTATGCATTTAACAAAGCAATCAATTTTTTTAGTAAAGCTTATTTCTCTGGCTTGAAAGTCAGCACAAGAATTAATTCTGAAAAGTAATGTACAAGATGTTGACAAACTTTTCTATTATAGCATGCATATTTAAATATCTCTAAATATCTCAAAAAACAGATCTTTTAAACATATTAAGCTCTTATAATAAATGCCTTATTTTATGTCCAATGATGGCGATAGACTAGTAGAGTCCAAAAATGAAATAAAATACCGTGTAGTTCTGACACACCCTGTACATTTCGAAATAATTTTAAATTATCCACATTGCCTTTTCACATATACCCATAAAATATTTTGTTTCTACATCTTTCCGTTTTCGTATAATCCACCGAGGCGAATGAGGTGCGCCGCCCTGTATAGGGTGTATTGCAATAATTGTCATGCCGTGTGCATAGGCTAAACTAGAAAAGAAAATAGAAGAAAGATAAGAAATTAGATATCTACATATATAAAATGCTAATGTTTATCTGTGTCGTCTCTACTGAAGTAACGACTTGCTCTCGAAAGTTGTTTTTTTACTAAAAGATAGCTAATTGGCTCTTCTAAAAACTGTCGTCGCCGGATTTTTTGTTTTTCATTTAATTAAAAAAATAAAACGTATTTTTTTTCCTGATATCGTGGCGGATGCGCCAGGCTTCAACTAGTAAGAATTAAAGAGCATATAAAATGTATTAATAATCTCAAACAAAATTCCGTCCAACATTGTATAGTCACACAATTAATACAAATTCAGTTAATTTACTACATAGAGAATCAAAAGGCAGACGCCTAAATTACGCCAAACAGCTAAAAACATTAAAATTAGTAAAAACGACAATAATTTAAACGTTTTAAATCCATCTCCATAGCAAATAATTTTCGTTACACTGTAGTTAGGGGGTTAGTTTTAAAAGACTTTTGAAACAGGTCTAACAAGCCGAAACATATCGTAGGCATAAAATTACACTAATAAAACTAAACACATCTAAAAGCGAATATTTCAACGATGTTTCACAAAGAACCAACCACATATTCAGCACCACTTACATGTATGTTACTCAATTCATGTTTCACACTAGTTTAAATTCAGACTGCCATATCAAAAATTTATCTAGATTCCAAAATATATTTGATTCTGTTACTAAAATCATGAGAAATATAAAATTATTCACTATAAGACCTTTTGTAAAACATGATACAATATAAATATAAAATGAATCAGAGTATTGTTTAATATTTTTCTTAGTTACATAGACGCCTAAACAAATAGTTTATTTAAATCTTTAGATTAATAATAATTATGCTTGTATACGGTATTGTTAAATATATAATATGTAGAAACATTAGTAACATATAATAGAATTATGAAATTTAAAAAACATGTACTTCTTAGTGTTTAATTATTAGCTAAGTATTTGTATTTTTAATATTTGTATACATTACCCCTTACATCACTCTTGTATTCCTTATATTTTTCTATAAAATTATTGTATGTACCTGTCTATGTGAGAGTCAAATTTTATAATACTACTGATCAAGAAAAACTGTAGTTACTATTGGTAACAACAATACATATAGACTAGCTGAAGCTTGCCTTTAGCTTCGATTGAGAATCTATTTATAAAATTTCATCAGTATTTATTTGCCTTGTTACAAATAAGTCAATTTATTAGAGTGCCGAGGAATTTTTAACAGGAAAAATGTGCTTTTTAATTCTAGTTAATTTTAGAAATAAAGCTAAACTTAATTTGTATTTTAAAGTATGTGTCGTGTTACAATTTTATTATTCTTGGTTAGGCAATGGATTATTATATTATTCAGTTTTAGGCTTTATTATTCCTTCCTTAATAATATAACAGGGATCGATAGACAGGCTTTATGAAGTCGCTATTGGGTCTATTCCACTGCGACTTTTTCACATCAATTAACCCCCTGATCAATATAATAACTTCTTCACTCGTATCCTTTCCACAAAGTCTACCAAGTTCGAGAATATACCTTATAACTAGCTCTTTGCACATGATTTATTATTGTCTAGCACAAACAACCTCACAATTATTGTCAGGCTATTCGCATTGACATAAAATGTCTCGTTTCTTCTTCTTTCTCTCTCTCTTCAGTCCTGACCCACATTAGGGAGTGCAGTGGTCAGCGTAACATCATGGATGATTTTTTTTTCCATGCGCCCCTGTTTTTTTGTCATCTCGATGACATCGTGCATTGGCCTGCTACAGCTAGTCGTGATCTGGTCTATCCATCGAGTTGGAGAGCGGCCACGTAGTCTACGTCCCTCCACCTTGCCTTGAATTATGAGTCTTTCCATATTCGCCGGACTTTTCCTCATTATATGTCCAAAATATTTTAGTTGTTTTAGTCGAATTTTACAGGAAAGCCTGTTAGTAATATTAAGTTCATTTATAATGGAAACGTTTGTACGGCGCCGGCGTTCAGTCCATGGGATACGGAGCGTACGTCTATAACAATACATCTCGGTAGCATCGATCTTCTTACGTTCCGCCTGTCTGAGAGTCCACGATTTGCAGCCATACGTCAATATTGGGAGTACCAAACAGTTGACTAGCCGGTTTTTGATGACTCTTGAAATCTGGCGGTCTTTCCAGATCTTGGTCAGTCTCCCAACAGCTACCTTTGCCATGTTGCACCTACGCTTCTTGACGGTTTTTATTACTTGATCCATGATTGTGTTGAATAACAGAGGGCTGAGACTGTCGCCTTAGCGAATACCAGTTGTAGTTCGAAGATGCTGCGTTAAGGTAAAGTTTGTTCTTATTTGGGTTGTTGTGTTTGTGTTTAAGTCCTTGATAAGTTCTGTGAGTTCTTTCGAGACATTACTGCTTTCCAAGATGGTGATGATGTCTTTTAGTTGGACTCTATCAAAGGCCTTTGTTAAATCTATAAAACATAGATAGGCTAGAGAGTTATATTCTAAGGATTTCAACTAGTTGCCTGAGTATGAATAGTGCATCGGTAGTTGATCGGTTTCTTCGGAATCCTTGTTGTTCCTCGCTTATTGGCACTATTGAGGAGATTTTGTCCGCAATGATCTTAGTGAGAAGTTTTAGCGAGGTGCTCAGTAATGTTATTCCTCTATAGTTTGCTGGGTCTGTTTTATCTCCCTTTTTAAAAATGGGCATTGTTATACTTTGTTTCCATTCTTCTGGTATTTTCTTATGTTGTAATATAATGTTAAACAGTTTTGTGTATTCCTCTATGATAGCCGTGCCTGCGTTTTTTATTAGCTCGTTTGGTATTTTATCTTGATTAGGAGATTTTCTATTTTTAAGTTTCCTTATTGTCTCTTCTACTTGCTAGTAAGTGATTTGCGCATGATCTTCTATATTATCTCTTTGGCTTGTCTCTTGTGCTTCCATTGGTTCATCTGTTTCTGCGTATAAGTCTCTGCAATATTTTTCCCACGTATCTTCTGCAATTGTTCTTAGTTGTATTGTTTCATTTGTTTCTCGTTTCAAACCCCTCAACATCTTCCAAATACGTTTTTGTGCTCCGTACATATCCGCCTCCATTTCGCTACTAAATCGCTGCCAATATTCTTCTTTAATTTCTCGTACTCTATTATTAGTCCTCTTCCTTATTTCGGTATAGATATTTCGGTTCTCCGGTGTTGGAGATTTCTTGTATTGTAAGTATTTTTCCTTCTTTTCCCTTGTAATGTTCTTGACTTCTAATGTAAACCAAGGTTTAATGTTCGGTCTTCCATTGTGTGATACAGTACGTGTTCCTAAAGCTTCTTTAGCACCTTTGCAGATGTTTTCTTTCAGTTTGTTCCAAGCTGTGTTATGAGTATCAAACTGTGCTATGGGGTTAAGAGTGACATGTGTTTGGCATCTGTTTGAATAAAGCTGTTTAGTGCTTTCGTGGTTGAGGGATTGTATATTGAATTTTTCAGTTTTTATCGATGGTCTTTTTTGGATAGCGGCGCACCTATTCGTATCTTTCCTAGCACAAGTTTGTGATCTGTTCCGATGTTGGCTGAGGATAAGACTCTTATTTCTATTAACTTCTTCTGTATTTAATCGATTATTAATACCAATATACAGGTAAATCTGGCAAATGTTTTCGGTGTAAGAGAGATGGGAAAATAAGGATAGAATAATGGCCGATGAAGGAAAAAGGTAAACAATTGTATCTCTTGAGTTTAAATAGCTTTGGGTATGCTATATTTTTGAAAAGCTAATTTTCAATTCTTTTCAATGAATTAAAAATATACAGGATGCCACATAAAACAATCAAATTTTCTGTTGATAACTCTTAAAAAATCTACTTAAACGAGTTTTGATTTTTACGTATTTACTTTTTGATATTAGGTATATCAAAAAATCATAATACATTACTTATTAATAGGTAACTTCCAGTACGTAATATTAATATTATATCTAAAATTGGTTTTGATTAATAGTTGTCTACATGTTTCATCTCTACCGACCCTAACTTAGTTTTATTAAACAACTGAAGTACATCATATGTTAATTCTATTTTTAGAAGCGGTTACTGATGAAATAAATAAGAATTCTGATACTGAATCGGATAACATCACCAAGAGTTACTTACTGATTAGTTCTGATGGAGAAGATACACAATATATTTTATTTACAAGGTAACAATTAAGAAGGGAGAAATAGCTTAGTCATAAAACCAATATTTTAGAGACCATTCGCCGTATAACATTAGGCGTGGAGATTTTGAAACTCTTAGTGCATCTGGGTTTAATATAAGTAACCCTACTAAAATAATAACCCATGGATTTTTAAGTGGTATCCAGTTCGAGGTATTTACGTTGATTAAAGATGGTAAGACATATATTTACATAATCATTTTTCGAAGGTCTTTTATTTGATTTTCGTCACTGCATAAATCAAAAAATCAACAGTTAAAAATCCAAATAGCTTTATACATATATTTGTTATACGACGCGGAGGCTACAAGGAGAACGGTAGTTTATTAAAATAAAATTTTGGTGCATGGTTAATTAAAAGCTTTTTACAAAAATATATAGAGTGTATAGGGTCTCCTCACAAAAATTATGGATCAAAGTTGTTTTTCTTTGTAATGGAACACCCTATAGAGGGTGTCATTGAAATGGTGTAAAAAAATCGGGAGGTGATAGTACTCCTAAAAATAGTAAAAAAAGTTCCTATAAGTGTAGGGCGTGTGGCAAAACTTTCAAGATTTGGCCGTTATCATGGTAGTGTGGCCTTTATATAATTACAATTAAAATAATTTTTTGAGCGGTAGGCAAAACTTGGATTAATGAGAACACCGTCTTTTCAGAGCGTAAATATAGTTTATCGTTTATATATAAAAAAAAACTAAATATAGCCAGCTAAAAATAGAAGTTAATGCATCGCACTTTTATGGTAAGGGTTCTTTCTAAATTCAGTTACTATAAACTCTATTGCCACTTACCTTATTACGTCAACATCCGTCAGCATTTCATCAACAATAAGAACCTGTCGAAGACTTCATTGATCCCTTTGTAGATCTACTGCTTCGGTCTTGGACTCATTCTTTAGATTAAACCACTCGATCGGTTATCACAGTGTTCTTTTAAATAGTTTAATATTTTAGCAAAAAGGTGAGATTAAGAAATAAAATGCCGATTTTTCACAACACCTATCTATATTTAATATAAAGAAATAAATAAATAAAAATAAAGAAAAAGGATTTAACAAGACATTTATAATTAATGAAATATAGAAAAAGGAAAGAAATTTAATCAAAAATAATTAATGAATGATATTAAAATTCACAGAAATGATAAAGTTAAAAATACAAAATATTCTTCCAATAAGTCTAATCTAAATTATCTAAAATTAGCATACAATTAGAATTTTCGTTGCCAGAAAATTAATATGACAAAAAAATATTAACTGAACAATTGGATTTAAATTAAAATTTAATAAAAAGAACAATTGCAAAATAATCATTTGTGTGATGACATCTAACTTTTACTAAAGCCTTTAGAACAAAGAGAAAGTCTTAAATCGTTAATAAAAAATATTAAAGAAAATCTAAAACAACAAATTAAAAATCTTTATACATAAAATGTTTAAAATTTCCTAACTTGAGAATTGAATATTTAAGAAAATCTTTAAATAGAAAACTTACTAAAATTATTAAAAAGAAACCACTGGATAATATAAGATCTACACGGAGTAAATTCGACCGTCTAATTTAAAAGTCAGTACCGAACTGGTCCAAAAAACTATTTTCCTAAACCTCGAAATTTTTAAAATGGGCGGGTAAAAAGAATAGAGAGCCACCAAAAGCCGAGAAATTCTCAAATCCTCTCCGGGTTCGCTTTTCAGGAACCGTCTGATTGGTCTGAGAAAACCTCAACTACCCTTTCGTTCCCGGTCTAGTTCGCCCTACTTGTCACAGATATCGTTACTATGACCATTTCTACGTTATTTTTCAAATTATTACTAATATCCGTGTAAATATTATAATTACCGTAAACACAATTACACCTGATTAAATCTAACCCTAACTAAAGTCTATTTTAAGGTCTGTCCATAAAACCAAACAAACAAATCACATTTATAATTTGATTTCATTAGATTCCGCTGTTTTATCTTATATGTTTATTTATTTCACATACTTTTGGATATTTTGGATAAAAAACTTAACTTTCAGAATAACGCCAGAACGTCCTTAACTTTCAGAATATCATTACGTGAACTTTACTTTAATATTTAAATTAACAATTATACTTGTTTTTATCCAAAATCTGTTTGTATTGGCCCGTGGGGAAGTCTATCGTGAGAAGGGTCTTAGAGTTTTATTGCTTTCTAGGGGTTTTGCTTATATAATCTCGAAGTTAAAATTTAGGGTTTTACAGCTTTAATGATTGATGCTAGTCGTGTGTTTCTAGCTGTTGCAAAGCAAGTATTATATTTATTTATGGACGTGGGAGTTTAAACCTAACAGAAAGATATTTAGTTTTTCCCAGAGAAACGGGTCCTTCATTCTAAACAGTTTTTACGATCTTCTGAAAAAATACCAATTTAAGGACGGAAACACATGACAAACTTTTAACAAGCTAGGTTTGTTGTCTGCTGTAAAATATTCCATTACAGGCGGAAAATGCATATTAAGGGAGTTAGGGGCACTGAAAGGGTGAATTTAAATAACGTATTTTGAAATTTGTAGGCTATTAAAAAACGAGATAAAATTTCGAAAAAAAATCCTCTGCCATAAATTTTGACCCTAAATCAAATGGTGGTACTGAAAAATTATTTGGAAAAGCGGAAAGGGTAGTTTTTGCAAGGGTAGGGGGTTATTTCGTGAATAACTTTTTTGAGGTTATTTTTTTGCAACTTGGGTTCATTTTTTGAAAACTACATACTTTTTTCTACAAAAAAGGTACTCTTGTTGCACATCGACCAGAGCGATGGTTTTCGAGAAAATTGAAGGCAAAGCGTTTGCTCTGATAGGTTGCTAACTGGTTAATCAACATAAACTTATGAAAGTTATGGCGGTTCAAAAGTAACCAAGTAGTTATCAAATAATTAATTGAAGAATCAAAATTTCATGATTTTTAAAACATCTTATTGCTTTAAAAAACGAAATAATCCAATTACCAAAATTGAATGCATACTTATTCGATTCATTGAAGGTATGCGGTCTTATCACTTTATTTATTTTGTATGTACGAAGAAAAAAAGTTCTGGTTCACAAGTATTTTTGTCAGTTTATTGCGGTTGAAGTGTGCGTAAACGTTAAATTTGACAAATTATGCAATACACTGTGCGTGAACTGGCAGATATGTATTTTATTTATGGAAGAGCGGACGAAAACGGTCTTTTGGCTCAACGTTTGTATGTCCAAAAATATCCGAATCGCAGGGCACCTTCTCACCGGATATTTGCGAGAATTCATCAGCGCCTAAGAGAGACAGGTTCATTTCAATCCAGAAACCAAAATCGTGGCCGTAATTTGACAGTACGTACACCTGAGGTTGAGGAGCGCATTTTAGCACAAGTAGGGGAAGATTTGGGGATATCTGTAAGGAGAATTGCAGCGCGGGAAAACGTGAGTCGCCATTCTGTGTGGATAACTCTTCATACTCAACTCCTGTATCCATATCACATCCAAAGGGTACAAGCTCTTGCTCCGGCAGACTATCCCGCTCGAGTCATCTTCTGTCGTTGGTTATTAAGTAAACTAGTACAAGAACCCCTTTTTTTGGCAAATGTTTTATGCACCGATGAAGCTGGCTTTACAAGAAATGGAATTTTCAATTACCATAATACACATCACTGGTCCGATCAAAACCCTCATGCTGTTGTGGAAAGTCGTTACCAAATTCGATTCTCAGTTAACGTTTGGGCGGGAATTCTTGGCGATAGACTTATTCGACCATTCGACCTTTCGAAAAGTCACTTATTTGTTACATTTCTTACATTTTAGGCTAAATGGTCAAAGTTACCTTAATTTTCTACTACATAATCTACCAGCACTTTTGGAGGAAGTTCCCATAGCACAGAGGCAGATCATGTATTTTATGCATGATGGCACACCAGATCATTTTCCGCTAGTGGTGAGGAATCATTTGAACAAAGTTTTTGAGAGGCGTTGGATAGGGCGCGGTGGTCCACAAGCTTGGCCAGCAAGATCACCAGATCTTAATCCACTAGATTTCTACTTCTGTTCCAATTAAATTCGGACAACACCAGGGATATTCCACAGGGTACGCAGATCGTGGAGAAGAAGAGCAGATGTCTGCATGGAAATGAATGGTGGTCACTTTGAACATTTACTATGAATAAATTAAGGCATTCGTTATTTTAATAAGGAATTTTGGTAATTGGTTTATTTCTTTTTTAGAGCAATAAGGTGTTTTAAAAAATCACGAAATTTTGATTTTCCAGTTAATTATTTAATATAGTAAACGCCACGAATGTTTGGGAGTGATTCATCGCTTGATGAAGTTAGAATCGACAATCATTTTTACATTAAAAACGTAAATTTTTATCGCAGACGTAGGTTTTTAAAGGCCCGGTCTAATCATCTGCCTGCGCTCTTCCTACTTATTCTAAAATGTTAGAATTATCCTTTATTTTGTTCATATTATTTCCTCTTTAATTGAAAATAGCAATAATTTATATAAGGTCTACATAAAAAAACTTCGATTTTTATCGGTGTCAAATACCCCACTGTGCGCCGTAACTTTCATAAGTTTATGTTGATTAACAAGTTAGCAACCCATCAGAGCAAACTCTTTGCCTTCAATTTTCTCGAAAACCATCGCTCTGGGCGATGTGCAACAAGAGTACCTTTTTTGTATGAAAAAGTACTTAGTTTTCAAAAAATGAACCCATGTTGCAAAAAAAATTAACCTCAAAAAAGTTATTCAGGAAACAACCACCTACCCTTGCAAAAACTACCCTTTCCGCTTTTCCAAATAATTTTTCAGTATTACCGTTTGATTTAGTGTCAAAATTTATGGCATTTATTTTTTTCGAAATTTTATCTCGTTTTTTAAGCCTACAATTTCAAAAGAATTTTAAACGTTTTTTAAATTCACCCTTAATATGCATTTCCCTTAATATGCAAAACTCCCTTAATATGCATTTTCCGCCCTATACTTACAGGCACTTTTTTACTATTTTTAGGAGTACTATCACCGCCCGATTTTTTTACACCATTTCAATGACACCCTGTATATTATTTGACTTTTGAATTCTAAAAAAAAAGTTTCATCAAAGAAGCATATACCTAAAATGTGAGGTTTTTGATAAACTTGAGGATTTTGATAAACTTAAAATTTCAATAAAAGCTACCTAAATTGTAATTTATCTTGTATTTAGCCTGATATTTAGTTAAAATAATAATTTTATGTTAAACCAAATTAAAATGTCACCCGAAAAGTTATACAGGGTGAGACAACAATATTGAACTGGAACGGAACAGTCAGTATATTATTATTCCCGATATTCAATGAAGAATTCATATATCTTCAAAACACTCTTAGGGTTGCCTACCCCTTATATAAAGATTTTCCTAGATATTTTCAGAGGAGTTCGACAAGGGGATGCTATTTCGCCTAAACTTTGTACAGATGTCCTTGAATACGCAATGAAATCACTCTCTTGGGAGAATAGGAGCATAAATATCGATGGTGAAAGGTTGACACATCTCAGATTCGCAGATGACATCGTCCTTGTCTCAGATAACATCGGAGATTCAAAGCAGATGCTTGAAGAATTAGTGCAGGCCTCATTAAAAGTCGGTCTCCGGATAAATACGAGTAAAACGTAAATAATGACAAACTTAGTGCTGATACAGAACATCAGAATAGGTGACGCCGACATAAAAGAAACACATATATACAAATATCTCGGGCACGAAATACAAATCGGAAAGAACAACCAAACACACGAGATACAGCGCAGAATAGGTTTGGGTTGGGCTGCTTTTGGCAAACTGCGGGAGACCTTTAAAAGTGATATACACATATGCTTGAAGAGGAAAGTTTATGAATAATGCGTCTTGCCGGTAATTACATATGGAGCGGAAACTCTAACGTTAACGAAAAAGTAAGCAGAAAATTTAAGAGTAGCCCAGAGAGCCATGGAGAGAGCCATGCTTGGAATAACTAAAAGAGACAAAATTCCTAATAACACTATCAGACAAAAAACCAAAATTAAAGACATAGTGGAACACGTAACTCGAATAAAATGGAGATGGGCAGGTCATGTGGCGAGAACATCTAAAGACAGGTGGACTAGAAGATTGTTAGAATGGCGACCTCGAGCAGATAAACGTAGCAGAGGCAGACCACCGACACGCTTGACCGATGATGTAAAGAGGATTGCTGGAAATTGGATGATGACGGCCCAAAATCGAGAGACATGGAGAAATATAGAGGAGGCCTACGTTCAGCAGTGGACAACGATGGCTACATGATGACAGCAGTTATTTTAACTACACATTAGGCTATACTGGACTTTTATTGAAAATTAAAATTTGTTCTTTATTTTTAGAAAATGTCAAATATGTCAAAAACCTTGCGTTTTAGTCATATCCACGTCATATCATATATCTCTCGTAAAACTCGCCTGTATTTTTCTTCTAGAATCCGAAAATCAACTGTGAATAGTCTACAACTGTGAACCTAGAATCTGAAAATCAACTTTTTAAAAATTGCTCTAAATTAAACTACATATGCCCACAAAATCTCATTTCAATACAAACTGTCGTTTTCCTTCAAGAGAGGACCCCTCACTGTTTATTTTTCACCCTGTATATTTTGAGAAATTTAATTTGTTGGGTTGCAATTAATTTTTTTGTCGCTCTATTAATCATTCTTTCCTAAAACTTTGTTTTGTTTTATGTTAATTTTCAATATTTCTTAGCGTACCTAAATGTCTCAGATTACAACGTTATTGGCTTGGATTGGTCGGTACTGTGCCGTACTGAATATGTCTCAGCTATACGTGGTGCAAGGACTGCTGGAGACGACCTAGGTGAGTTTATAAAATGGCTGGTTTTGAATGGAGTTAGTTTGGATGATATCCATCTGATTGGTCATAGTCTTGGAGCTCACGTAGTTGGAGTTGGAGGCAGCAAAGTTAAAGATGGAAAAGTAGGAAGAATTACAGGTAATTAAAATGGAAATTAAAATTCTTTCATAAAAATCCTTTCATTGAGCCCTTTGTTGTATATTATTGGCTATGCAGGCAAAAGTTATCCTGTCAATTTCCTAATATTATGGTCCCGTCTCAGGTATGGTCTTCTTCTAGGTCTCTTAATTCCTCGTGAATACCATGCTGTAATCTTTGTGGTCCATCTGTTATCCGTCCTTCTTACCAAGTGTCCTGCCCATTGCTACTTGAGGGATTTGATTCTGTAGATGACATCTATTACCTGGTTATTTTGTTGTATCCACTCTATTCTTTTACGGTCTTTCTTGGTTATTCCCAGCATATTTCGTTTCTTTCAGCGTTGTGCGACCTGCGGTTTCCTTAGAATATCCTTTTTAAATGTCCAGGTTCCGCATGCGTAGGTCATGACTGGTAGTACACATTGGTCGAATATTTTCTTTTTAAGATAAAGTGGCATTCTCGAATTCAATATGATTGAGTTTCTTCCATAAGTACTCAATGCTAACTTAATTCTTTGTTTGATTTCTTGTAGTAGATATCCGGAGCTGTGTATTAGTTGCCCCAATTTGTATACAGGGTTGTTCACCACATACGACACGGAGTATTGTAGCTAAACGATTAGGTTTTTCCAAATTTTAAATTTTAGGTTCGTTGAAGGATTATTAGAGCTACAATTTAAAAATATTTTTACAAGATACAAAGTGTCCCAAATAAATAAAAAATGTTATAGTTGCATTTTTTTAAATGGAACACCCTGTATATTATTCTACTTTTAGATTCTACGATTGACATAAACGTAAATTTGATTAAGGTTTATCACACTTAAACCTTACCGTTTTTTGAAATATTTTCAATTTTATGAAATTCCAGTAAAAATTTTAAGGCTTCATTTCTCCAACGGTATCGAAGTTTTTAATACTAAATATTTAGTGAAGTTTATTTATTGATCAGATATTGTGTTGCAATAATAAAGAAAATACTATCTTATACAGAGTGTTTAAAAAATTATTTTAAATAATTACTAGCTTTAAACGGCAATAATTTGTTATTTTAAATGGAACACCTTATTTATTTTACGAGAATAAGATGCACTATTTAATTGTCTATCAAATTGTATTAAACCATTTTTTACCTATCTCTTCAAGTTTTCGTAGAAAATGCATTTACTTATAATTTAGACCTCATTTATCACTATACCCATGCAATATTGACATTTTAGATTTTTTTTAATGATGTAACAACTTTTCAAAGAGTACAGATACGAATATTGTCGATATAGTTCGCTTATTTTATTAAAAGATAAAAAGCAGTTTAAATATTTTTTGTTAAAGGGAACTAATTAATATGATCCCAGTATTTCAAACTACATTAATTGACTGTTTACGTTGATTAATAATAGTTGCTCCAAATACTAAAAAACTGAATTTTGTATGTGTATTAGACAGTGTGGTAAAAAGTAACACCTTATAAATTTTATTTTATTTTTTGACGAATGCTAATTTATAACAACAGAGACGTTAATTTTCATAACTTATTATGGTATTGATTTCTGAGTCAAATCCACATTTAGTTAGAAGAATTTATTAATTAAAACACTTAGGTATATAATTAACTAATTTTTGGGCGGAAATAATGATGGTAAATTAATAATTAGTAATAATTGGTATACTCCTTTACAAAGATTTAAATAGTTTTCTTTTTGTAAACAAATGGGCTTGGTCTATTATTATCTTTACTACCGGTATAATTTCTACATATTATGTTGCTTTAAAAAAACTAAAATGTCAATATTCCATAGGTATAGTGATAAACGAGCTCTAAATTATAAGAAAATGCATTTTCTACGAAAACTTAAAGAGATAGGTAAAATGGTATAATACAATTTGATAGATAATCAAATTGTGCATCTGATTCATGCAAAATATGCAGGGTATTCCATTTAAATTAAACAAGTTATTGCCGTTTAAAACTAGTAATTATTTAAAATAAAATTTTTGACACTCTGTATAAGGTAATATAATTTTTATTACTGCAACACAATATCTGATCAATAAATAATCTTCAGTAAATATTTAGTATTAAAAACTTTAATACCCTTGGAGAAATGAAACCTTAAATTTTTTACTGCAATTTCACAAAATTATTTCGAAAACGGTAAGGTTTAAGTGTGATAAACCTTAATCAAATTTACCTTTATTTCACTCGTAGAATCTAAAAATAGAATAATATACAGTTCAGGGAGTTCCGTTTAAAAAAATACAACTATAATATGTTTTACTTATTTGGGACATTCTGTATCATGCAAAATTATTTTTAAATTGTAGCTCTAATAGTCCTTCAACGAACCCAAAACTTACAATTTGCAAAAATCTAATCGATTAGTTACAATACTCCGTGTCGTATGTGGTGAACAACCCTGTATATGTTACGCACAATACTCGAAATCGGGTAATGCCCGATAAAATGCACAGAACTAGTTTTGGGCAAAAAATATTTCCCAAACCTGAAATTGTACATTTAAACGGTATTGCGCATTACAAAATAGTCAAAACTAGTATTGTGCATTTTGAATTGCGTAAAACTAGTTTGGTGCATTTCAAAATGTCCAATACTAGTTTTGCTTGTCCTATTTGATCAATAACGCCCTAACACAAAGGATGGATTGTTTATGAATGTGTTTGATTGAAATATGATTAAACTGACAATAAAATACTTAAAAAAATAAAACTTTTTCATATTATTGATAAATCTTTTATAAATGGATAAATACATAATAATATAGGTACCTATATGAATATTTATACAGTAGCATTATATTATTTATTTGAACAGGAACTTTTATGTCGTTTATGGCCTGTAGCTATATGTGCCTGGTGAATTATAGAAAGAGTCGCCACAAAATACATTAAATACAGTATGACATCGGAATCTCCTTGGCGCTTTTTGACCAATTTTTTCACACACAGTTATTATATCAAAACGCTTTATCCTTCTATATTGTTTGGCACACAAAGGTTTTAAAACAGTTTTAAGAAAATTTGCCTCCTTAACTTCAGTCAATATCGTTAGGTATTGGTTTTTCGACATAAGGTTATGTTTCTGTGTTTTCTTGAATTTCGAACTCGGCTTCCATTTTTTCTTGCATTTTTATATTTTATTTCACCAAGTATTGCGTATTTCCACCCACAACAAAATCAAAATAAGAATCCTTTAAAACCCAAACAAACTGCTAACCCTACTTTTTACTGTCTTATTTAAAGAAAACGAGCAAAACTAGTATTAGTCATTTTGAAATGCACCAAACTAGTTTTGCATAATTTAAAATGCACAATACTAGTTTTTGCTATTTTGTAATGCGCAATACCCGTTTAAATGTACAATTTCGGGTTTGGGAAATATTTTTTGCTCAAACTTAGTTCGGTGCATTTTTTTTCGGGCATTACCCGAATTCGAGTATTGTGCGTAACATCCTTGTTGATATATTCTTAAAGTTGGTCAACCTCTCGACAAAATGTGCTGCCTCTGGTGAACAAATCGTGAAGCTTTAAAGGAATGAAGCATGTGATTAGGGGCGGAGTCAAAAATATCGATTATTTGCGGTATTTCCCTCAGAGTAATGTAATAATATAGCTCGGATTTTTGCGAACTATAATAGGGCTCAGCTGATTAAGAAATTTAAACAAAATTATTAATTCATTGTTGATTTTCGATTATTTTTGCTGTTATTTTAAGGATTCTAAACCGTATTAACAAAGAAATTATTATTTCAATATGTTGGTACATTAATGCTAATTACTGGTAATTATTAATATTTAAAAAATGTTACATACACTTACTTTATTTCGATTTGACACGTTTATAAAATTTTATTTCATTCTTAGATCATTTTATTCTAAATTGAGGTTTTACGAATTTACGATAATTTTTTTTTAAAAAACAAAACTTTTATACATTCTTGATTAAATTTTTTCTTAATAATAAAACTTGGCACTTGCTTCAATAATATTATTTGACATTTAAATAAATATTATGTACTTAATACACCATTTAAATATTTATTACACGAAATAAATCTTTCTTAGCGTAAAACATGATCAGGTCAAGTTTGCTTTAACTTTGTACCATATGAAAAAAAAATGTCGTCGATCGTCATTTCCCATATAAATTTACATATAAAATGATAGCGATCTTCATTTCATAGCCATCGCTGACGCCGTTTATTTTCGATCAAGAATTATAGAAACTGAAAATATCATTATGTTTTAACTCACAAAGCCCGTTAAACCATAAAACTTTCTAGTATATTGTTTTATTAGGAGTAAAAATGACACTTTTCTTGGCGAGACTGTACGTTTGACATACAGCCGAAGCACAAAAAGTCATTTTTACTCCGAATAGAGCATGCTATTTTTTTCAAACGCCACAAATAATTTTTTAAACAATTTCAAACGTTCCAAATAATATAAAAATATTTAAAACTTATACCTTGTAAGTAATTATCATGATACAAAGAAAACAAGGTATGATATTACGCAGGTTGGTCACCACGTCACAGGTGATAAACGGCACTATTGGTCGGCAAGCTCCACGCGCCAATTTCAAATTTTCAAACAGATGACACACAATAAATGTGTATAATGTGTCATAACTTTTCAAATGTCAAGCTCGATGATTTTACATAACTTTAGGGATTATGTCCTAATTCTTCCCTATTTTAATTTTTTTTTATTAGTGGCAATTGAACAATATGGATATTTTTTTGTATGGCATATGACGTCACAGGTGATATGCGCAAACTGAACGAAATTGGAGTCAATCGATCATATTTTGTTTTCAAGTTTTCTTTGTACCATGAGTAATTATATATCGAGAAACTATGGTTACGGCTCGTTGAATTTGAGACTTATGTCATTTTAATAATATATTTTCATAGTTTTATACATGTTTTATGCTTCGACGTAAAAGTGCTTTAGTTTTATGCCTAGGCGTTAAAATGA